CATTTAGTTACTATAATTTTGACTTAATTGTAATTCAATCCTTGAACTTTTGTAAAGTCTCCTAAAATAATTCAGATTTTACCAATCCTTATACACATTATCGTACAACAACAATAACATATCAGAATTATAGCCTTTAATTTGCGTCTAAAACATAGGATCTTGACTGCATAGAAAAATAAGTTAAATAAAAAAGGCTAATGAAATTGCAAACACACGCCCAACAAACAAGATAAACAAGTGATCATTTCTTTCAAAAAGCGGCCATGCGCCGCAACTTACACCACATGTGCTGTGTGGTATGTGGCACAAAGCAACATGCCCTGCTTCTATGTCATATGCCGTGGTGCATGTATCAAATTCTGCTATCACAGTAACTTTTTGATACGAACTTTCGTTGTGTGCCATTTTCATACTCGAAGTATGATTGGAGTGATTCAAGCACCCACATAAAGCTTATAATATATTCAATCTAATGAGACAAGTTTGGATGCAATCTAATGATCTGACCTAAAATTGAACATTCGAGTGAAAAAAGTCAATTTTCTTTTAAAAATTTGATATCCTAAGTGTTCAATTCTCATATCTTACCTCATTAGACTACTTTGAGTCTTGAATCAAATCTAAAAAGACCATATACACTGAATTGATACATCATATCACATATATCACATCAAATACTCATTTTGACTCCTCAATGCCATATTATACACTTGTGGACTTATATGAGACATAAATATATAACCACATACACATATATACTTGTTTTACTTTCAATCATTCAACTTACACATATGGGGCTAAGCCTCACCATATGGTCGAGAATTATAAATCACTTGATTTACACACAGATAGGGCTAAAGCCTCACTATTTAGTCAAGTTTCACATAAATGCACATTTCATCATAAAAAACTCACAAATATCTTAGTGGAACAAGTTATATAACACAACATGTACCTGCTTGAATAGTATCTAGGCATACCAACGTATTCACCATTATAATACACTTGGTGAGATGTAGTGTGAGTGTACAAGCAAATTCTCAAACAACATAATCATATATTCACATCCATAGACACTTATGCATCATAGTTAGCAACCCAAACATTTACAACATTGTTATACATTTATTATACTAAGAGTAGTCATACTACTACTGAAAAGAAGCTAATCCTTCCTTACTTTCTTTCCCAGCCTTCTCGTACTCTCTTCACCTGTATATAAAAGAAATGGAGTGAGACATACGTCTCAGTAACTTGGATAAATCTCAAATACTGGTTAGTAAGTAAAATTATAAATAAGAGATAAAGTAGCATGAATTTCAATAAAGAGCAGTATACATAAATTTACAAACAAAGATATAATCATTCATCATCTATGCTCATGCACTCCCGATTCCTTCTAACGGAGCAAGTTTAACGCTCGAACTAAGACTTCTAGCCTTACATAAAATAGCACTCGCCAAACCTCTGTCTCAGACCACATATCATCAATATGGATGGTCTACTGAGTCCCTATTAGTAGAGCATACTTGATGCTTGGATTGTCAGGACTTCTTAGCCTTACATAGAGTGGGGCCACAATCCCCTACCCTGTTTTAGGGTACACTCATGGATATTCTCTTAGGTCTTTTCTAGCGGAGCAAGCTCTATGCTCAAGACCTTCAAGACTTTCTAGCCTTACATATAGTAGGGCCACGACCACCTACCCTAGTTTAGGGTACACTCACAGATGCAAATGCACATGCCACTTTGCATATATTCCAAACATTACTCATACACCCACATGCATATTCCTTTCACAATACTACTTCTTTATCAATTCATAAAACACAATGCATACAATTATATAAAATACTTGTAAATAATTTTACAAACCAATAGATAAAAGGGTTACTTTAGTTACTTTTTACCCTTATTACCAAGGGTTACCATTCTTGCTTAACTTCTTAACTTATGTCAACTCCCACAAAAAATCCTTGGGTACTCAATCTACACAACAAACACCCTTACTCAATTTCCAATATACAACATTATCACTAATTTTACTGAGCCAAATTCCTCAACACACAGAACAACTCAACTAAGGCTTTTGAATTCATATAATTCACTTTCTATAGTCATTTTCCCTTAAGCTATTCAAATGACCAAAACACCCTCTTAACTCACTTGTTTATCAATTTTCTCCCTTTTCTACCTAACAAATTAGGTGTATTATTCCCATATCTTTAAAGTTCAACCATTAAACTTTAAACTAGCCGTAAAACTTTAGTTTCGCACCCGAGACCTCTTTTAAAACCTTTTCTTTAGATTTGAACTCCTTAAAATTTTCTAATTTAATTTCTCTACCAACCAAAGTTAAAGAAATTTAGATAGAAACATAGCACAAGATGGTATGAAACTTATCTAATAAGTTACTAGCCGAAGCAAACTTTCAAATTCTATATATTTAATGCCCTAGCAGATACAAGCTCTTCTCTCCCTCTCACGCATTATTTCTTTTTTTTCTCTTCTATTTTCACGAGATGGAGACATCAGCTTTAAGCAAAATCTATGCCATGTGTTGTGGCCCATGAAGCACATGGTGCGACCCATGGCACAGTGAGGCTAATCTCACCAGTGCTCATGCATTTCATTTCAACTTATCGTTCCACTATTCAATCTTATTCAAATATTAGCCAACTAACCTAAAACATCAATCCAACATCCAAAACTATAATCAATCTACTAATTAATAACCTATCCCTAATTAGCAATTAGTCTCCTGAATTGAAATTGAGGACGTTACAACTTTGATTAGTTATAACTTAATATTTATAGTTTTAACTCGGTTGTAACTCAATTATTAAGCTTTTTCTCTTGCAATTTAATCCCTATAATTTCAACCACTTAAATATTGATCTCTATATTTTAAAAAATAAAATTATAAAGACAAAAAGTATTTTGAACCTTTAATATTTATAATATTTATAAAGATTAAAAGGGTTTAATAATTTAAAATATTAGTGATAAATTTTAACATAATTTTAATCCTTATAATTTTATTATTAATGTTATAAATATTATAAATAATTAAATTTCAAAATATTATAATTTTAATCTTTTAATTTTTAAATATTATACATATTAAAGGTTCAAAATATTTTTAATTTTTATAATTTTATTTTTTAACATATAGGGACCAATATTTAAATAGTTGAAATTATAGGGAGTGCATTGCAAGAGGACAAGGTCAGAGACTGAGTTATAATCGAGTTAAAATCATAAAGACTGAGTTACAATGGGTCAAAATTCAAGGATTAAGTTACAATTGGGTGAAAACTATATGAATTAAATGATTAATTTTCTCTTAATATTTTTATGAGATTCTTAATTTTCATTTTCCCATTTTTTATAACATTAAAAATATTTAGTTAAAATCGATAAAAAAGAGAGAAAAAAATTGAAGAGCATCAAGTATTATATATAGTGATGTGGTGTAGAATAATCTACTCCCTTCTTATTACAATATATTCTCTCTGTTTCTATATATAAGAAATTTTATAGAATATTTTTGTATCCCTAAATATAAGAAATTGTTAGCATATTTTTTAATAAATAGATTATTATATCCTTATTAAATTAGCAAGAGAAAATAATAAGTACTCTTATTAATTTATTTGAAAAAAAAAATTATTTTTATTTATAATAATTAGGGGCAAAATTGAAATGTTGCTATGCTTTTAATTAGACAATAAATTTTTATTAGTTTACATGATTTGATTAAAAATATTTTATATATAAACATAGAAGGAGTAAGTCATTGTCAACTAATTCACAATTTATGAATAATATTAGTTGAAATATTAAATTATTAAGAATGTATGCATCTTTTTATTTATACTCTTATTAAATATTCTATATAAGAGTTTAATAATAATAATTAAAATTCTGATGTATGATTTTTTTAAAAAAATTTATAAATAAATAAATAAAAATGAAATATAGTTAAAAAAAATAAATGTAAAATTTATCCAATATTTTATATTTTGGGTTGAGTAAAATTTTTAAAATATACCTGATGTCGTATCAACTACAAACCATAGCAATTAATTATTCAAACTCGTGGGACCCATGTTCAAATGAAGAGCTGGTAGTCCAAGACGCAGTGAATGCACTCTGCTCCACTTACCAATACTCTTCTCCAACATAAAGCCGCGGCTGGACGGTGGACCCTCTTGTTTGAATAAACGGACGTTTGAGCAAATCGACTGCAGGTTTTAATTGCTGCTCTTTTTTCAGTTGATGGAAAAAAAATAAAAAAAAATTTATAAAATAATACCCCCTCAATTCTAAATTATAAAATATTTTAAAATAAAATCTTATATATAAATAAAATTTATTAAATATACTTTATAACCTTATTTTTTCAAGATAAAAATATAAATTTTTAAAAATATTTTTTATTTAAAGAATATTGAAAAAAAAGAATATATGATAAAAGTAATTTGAAAAAGTGTCATTTTGAAAAAATATTATTAATGAAACTTATTTTTATTAAAATATTTTATATTTTAAAATATTAAATGTTTTTAAAATATATCTTATAATTTAAGATAGAGAGAGAGGAAGTTGTATATTTTGACGTGTAAAGGGCTCAAAAAGTTTTCCTGACTTTTCAAAAATGATTGATCATTACCATCAAGTGACAGACTGGAGCAATTTCGCGGGGGTACTAACTTGAAATAAACTCTTCCAATGACTTTTAGAAAAGAATTGCCAATACATTTCCTTTTTTCCCCTGGCAATGGACCACGCAAATAATTTTATCATTCATTAAAACGAGGCTCGAGTTCACTGAATTTATATGTGGAGGTCCAAGTCCTGAATTGAAGAACACGCACAGTTTGTATCAGAGAATTTGCTTGAATCTCTGATTTTGCACAAGGGAGTATCCTTCATAGTCTTCCATTATGAGGATCCTTTCGTTTTTATTTCTTCACTCCATACTGTTTTGTTACATGTGCCTTTGCAGCCACGTGTTGGCGGTGTCTGGTTTTTGTGTTGAAGATCAACAATCACTGTTGCTGCAACTGAAGAACAACGAATTCCAGTTCAATGCTTCAAAGTCTACTAAACTGAAAAGGTGGAATCAAAGCATTCCTCATTGTGATTGGAATGGTGTGACTTGTGATAAGGAGGGGCATGTTATTGGTCTCGACTTGAATAATGAATTCATAGATGGAGAATTGCATAATTCAAGTGCTCTTTTTTGTCTCAAACATCTTTAGAACTTGGATTTGAGTTATAATAATTTCAATTCTTCAATTTCGCCTGCAATTGGAAATTTGAAGAACTTGGTCTCTTTGAATTTGTCGGACAATGGTTTGAAAGGTCAAATACCAATGGAAATTTCCCAGTTGAAAAATCTGGTTTGTCTTAATTTATCTTTTTTATCATCCTTGAACCTTGAGAATCCAAATCTACAACAACTAGTCCAAAACCTCACAAAAATCAAGTATTTGTATTTAGATTATGTAAACATATCAGCTCAAGGGAAAGATTGGAGCAATGCTCTGTTAGCAATTCCTAGTCTTGAAGAAGTAAGCATGCGCTCTTGCAATCTCTCTGGGCCCATTGATTCTTCATTAGGGAGACTGAGCACCTCTCAAGACTTTATCTTGATGGTAATTATCTATTATCCACAATGCCTGAAAGTTTTGCCAATTTAAAGAAATTAGCCGTCTTGAGTCTTGAGGATTGCAACTTGATAGGAGATTTTCCACAAAAGATATTTGAAATTGCAACATTGTCCTATTTAAGCCTATCATACAACTTTGATCTTCATGGGTCCTTCAAAAGCTTCCCCCTCAATGGATCTCTTCAAACTTTAAAAGTAACAAGCACAGAATTCACTGGTCCAATCCCTTCTTCTTTATTTGAACTCCCATTTATAGAACATATTGATCTGTCATTCAACCATTTTGATGGTGAATTGAAACCTAATATGCTTCAAGTCTGTCAACATCTACAAACATTAGATCTTTCATTCAACCATTTAAATGGTGATTTGAACCTTAATATGCTTCAAGGATGTCATCGTCTACAGACATTAGATCTTTCATCCAACCATTTAAATGGTGATTTGAATCTTAATATGCTTCAAGGATGTCAACATCTATAGAGATTATATCTTTCTTACAACAACTTGTCAGCTGATGCAAATATTATGGATGCTAACCTTTCTTCATTTCCAAACTTAGAGATTCTAGGATTGTCTTCTTGTAATTTGAGAGAATTCCCATTGTTCTTGAGAAACCAATCAAACATAGGATATCTTGATCTCTCTAACAACCAATTCATAGGACTGATACCTTATTGGATTTGGGAAATTCTTGGAGAAGATGGTGATCTAGATCTTTCTAACAATTCTTTGACAGGCTTTGAAAGACACATGCTAAATTACACTGTTAATTTGGATGTCGTCGATCTTCACTCCAACAAACTCAATGGGAACATTCCTCCTTTTATCAACTCATTCTTTTTGGACTTGTCACGAAATCACATCAACACTGTTATTCCACATAACATTGGTGCTCAATTTCATTCAGTTTATTTTCTTGAGCTTTCTAGAAACAAATTTCATGGGGACATTCCTCATTCCTTGTGCAATATTCCAACTATGAAAAAACTTGATCTTTCCAATAATATGCTTGAAGGGACAATCCCACCTTGTTTAATACATAGTGAGACTCTCTCCATACTAATTCTTGGAAAGAACAAGCTCAAAGGCAACATTCCAAATGCATTTCCAAAATCATGTGATTTTTCCATATTAGATGTAAAGGAAAATCAATTGAGTGGCTTCATACCCAAGTCAATGATTAGTTGCACGAATTTGAGGGTGCTAAATATTGGAAATAATCATATTAGTGGTCACTTTCCATGCTTCCTAAGGAACATATTCTCACTTGAAGTCTTGGTTTTGCGAAAAAACCAATTTCAAGGTCCCATTGGATGCTTAGAAAATGATGGAAGTTGGTGTATTCATATTATTGATTTGGCTTTTAACAACTTCAGTGGATTTCTTCCGGCCAAAGTTTTCACAACTTGGGAATCAATGATGGTTGATATTCCACTTGTATCAATTTCTAATTACATCGCACTTAATTATTTTGTTGGAACACCACATTATTATTCAATGACAATTGTGAGTAAAGGCCAAGAAATGGAATGGGATGAAATACAACAGTCCTTCACTTTGATTGACTTTTCATCTAACAATTTTGAAGGGCCAACACCAAAAGAGCTAATGAACTTGGAAGCTCTTTATGTTCTCAATTTGTCAAATAATGCTTTCTCAGGCAAAATCCCATCTTCAATTGGAAATATGAAGCAGCTTGAATCCTTGGATTTGTCAAACAATTCTTTGACCGGAGAGATTCCAACAGAGCTTGCAAGTCTATCATTCCTTTCATTTTTGAACCTTTCATTTAATCATCTTGTGGGAACGATCCCTAGAGGCACACAAATTCAATCAATTTGATGCCTCTTCCTTCCAAGGCAATAAAGGGCTGTATGGACCTCCTTTGACCAAAATTCCAAATAATGGGAAGCCAGGATTAATGCTACCACCTATAGCTTCTCAATATGACCATGGAATTGATTTCACATTTATCACAGGCATGGAATTTGGAGTGATTTTTGGCTTAGCCATTATTATCGGACCTCTTTTCTTCTGGAGGAAATGGAAGATAATGTACTGGAAATATGTGGATGATGTTCTTTATATAATCTTTCCTCAACTTTATCTTGATTATCAAAGACATGCTGGACAATGGCACGCAGTTCTGCGTTGGAGTCGTTAAGCATTACATTTCGTTGAACATTATTTGAGTGTTGATTTATAAGGTAAATAAATATATGATTATATTTAGCATATTTTATTATATTGCTTGAAATATACCTGCATGCATATTTGTTTGTGCTTCATTATGATATGCTTTCTTTATAACAATAGAAGTTTTTTGTGTTAGTGTGCGTGTGTCATATGATCGAGTTCTATTCATATTAATGTTCATTAATTTATATTATGTCACATAATACATAGGTCTTTTTTTTATTATGATAACATACATAGGTCTATATTTGTCTAGTAGATTTTGCAAGAATTGAAACTTCGTGCGTGGCCAAAAGTGCATATATACAAAAACTCAAAATTATATTTAAGTTGATTAAAATTTTGATCCACGCTAGATAATTAAAATATTATATAAGTAAACACGGCAATGCAATTAGGGGACATTTACCCGTTTGTATATAATAGTAGGAAAAACTGATTCTGTAACTTTTTAATGTTGTTTTTGTTCATTATTCATATTGTCTCTATTAATATATATATATATATATATAGGGAAAACATAACTTTAACTCCATGTGCTTTGCTAGTGTTTTGTTATTAGTCTTTGTACATTTTTTCAATGTTTTTCATTGTTTTATTTTTTATTATTTTAAATCTCTTCAAGGTTCTTATATTTTGTTCATGGAAAGACCTAAAATAATTAAAAATAAAAATGTAGGGCCAAAAATATCAAAAAAAGTATAGGAACTAATAATAAAATGTAAGTAAAATATAAGGACCTAAAGTTATGTTTTCTATATATATATATATATTTCAATTGTATTAATTAACTAACTACCTTATACGATTGTAAACTTTAGGTGAAGAGAATCAAGCAAGGTCACATTTACATATGATGCAGCTTAACTATGTATGATAGTGAAATAAAGATTTGAAGTATGATTCATGTAATTATTTGAGTTTGATCACTCAAAAATTTAATACTTTGATGTGATGAATTAATGATGTTTGGCTTAGAACTCGTGCTTAAACTATTTTAAGATGGTGTTATTATTGTTTTTTTTATAGTTTATATTAAGTGATGCACTTATGTCTTCCATCAATATCTGAATTTTTTTTATTATTGGCTCTTATATTTTTTCTTAAATCTGGTAATTATATCACTTAGTTTAGAAGGTGTAAAGTTTTTTTTTTAATTTATTTTTGCAGGTTGAAAATCTATCGCTTTTAGTTGTAGTTAGTTATTACCTTCATGGCATTGTAAAAGGGTTGTGGGTCGGCCCATGACAGGTTGGGAATGGGCCAACTCTTCAAAAATATGGGTTGGGTTTTGAAAATTTCCAAAAAGTATATGTGCGCCAACAAAATTACAAACGCTGGTTTATCGAAATTTAAAATGTATTGTCTATGAATGTATGCATGTATTTGTTACAACATGGTAGCTAAATGAGTGTGGCAAGCACGAATCCAGATTTTCCGAATAGTGGCAGGGGAAGGTTATCTTAATTAATTGTAAATGTCAATATCCTAAAAAAAAACTATAAAGTAATTTATAATATGAGCAAAATGATCAGAATGGGAAGCTTTTTTCTCGTTTTACGGAACAGTAACAAAAGAAAATTTACTCAAGTCTCCAAACACATAAATAAAACACAATCAAGCACTACAAAATGTTAGAGAAACATGACAAACAACAATTGATAGCAAAAGTTAGTATATATTCCAATTTAATATGTGTATATTATAACGTGAGCTAAATAATGAGAAAGCTAATAATAATCCTAGCTTTTCAGAACTCGGGCTAGCCTAACTGTAAATGATGGTCTCCCAAAATATAAAATAATTAATAACATAAGCTAAATGAGAACATATGAAAGATATTTTCTCTCTGTTTTTTTTTTTTCTATGGAAGGGTACGGTAATAAATGAAAATTTATTGAAATGTTAAAAAGCATACTTAAAATATAATTCACACATCACGCCAGCTCATTTGATAAGGGAGGGAAATAGGGAATGATGAAAATCTCTTGTTTGTGGACTTGATTCCACTTTCTCTCTATTCCCCATCTTAATCCCTCAATCAAATTTTGAATAATTGAAATTTAATATTTCACAATCATTAATAAACTAGTGAGTTTTGTTTTTTGTTTTTAATTTTGTATTTTGCACATTCATCATGTTTTTTTAATACAAGGTTGTGGAAAAAGAATTGTGTAAAAAATATAAAAATCAAGTCATGTTAGATTTCAATAAAATTTTGCATCCTGAAGGTGGTTTATTAAAAATAAAAAGATTTAAATTATGTTGAGATGCTTGGTATGCGATCATATCAAATATTCATCCTTGTTTTGATTATGTATATACTATGTTTATTAAGTTTTAGAAGAGATAAAAAAATTATAATGATAAGAAATACCCAAAAGATTATAAAAGTAATATTGTTCATAATAATTTTCAACAAAAAATAATACTATAAAATAGATATTATTAAAAAACTAAAAAATATGGCATATGTTCGAGCTAAATGCCCCAGGCAAGGCCGAGCTAACTAATCTTTTAGGTCATGTGCACAATGCTAGATGAGACTGGATCCCACCCAACAAATCCAATCCTAATCCAAAATTATGCAACTATAGATGATAGATAAAGATTTATGGACTTTAAGTGGAAAAAAAATTAGTGATCCAATTATATATTGATATGAATTTAATGAATACAACCTAAAAATAAAAATAAGAAATAACTATTTTAAATATTTTTGACTATCCTAACCAATCTTCTTCCAAAGGAAACAGGTCCTACACATATGCAACCACGCACAACACATATCTAATAACAATAACCTTCCTAGCTACTTGGAAGTAGAACATACTACCATGCTCCTTCGGTTCTGTATGTATATTAGTCACATTTTAGAAATATATTTTCGTCCGCTTTATAAGTTATTAGTTGATGAGATTGTTTTATTTTAAATTAAAATTTCAAAATTATCCCTAAAAAGTAAAAGAGAGAAAGATAAAAAATAATATTATATTATTTTTTCACTTTTTGTTTTTTACTTGGGGGTTATATTTAGAATTTCATTTACTTTTATTTTTTATACTTTTATTGTATTAGTATTGATAAAGATAATAGAAATAACTTATAAATAGGATTAGAGAGAGCACTTTTTTTTTAGGTATGGAATGCCACCGAAGCAATAGGTTCTTAGCAACTATTTCTAATCACTTGATGGCCTTATTGAATTATCTTAATCTAAAGTTAATAATTAAAAGTTGAAAAATATAAAAATTGACGAGGAACAGTCTTAAAATAAAGATTATATATATATAATAGATTATAAAAATAAGCACAAGTTAATTAAAGATGGATTATACTATTCAATAATAAAAAGAGAGAATTAATAAAAAAATATTGTCAAAATGAAAAAAACAACGTTTGTTAAAGGGCATTGAGTTTCAATTTAAAATAAACAAACAAAACTATGCATATCATATCAAACTCTTTCTTGACTATTTTCAAAAATAAATAAAACCTTCTTTAAGAAGAAAATGGCTAACATTTGCTTGTGTTCGGAAATGGAAAAATGACATATGAAAAGGGTTAAATGGTAAGTTAGATCCTAAATTATATGTTCATGAGTGATTTGAATCCTAAATTTATTTTTAATACATTTTAAACTCTAAACATGGATTAAAACACTACACCCTCACTCTAGCTTTGCTGAGCATATCTTACCAAGTTCATCTTCAGTGTTCATCACATTATACTCATCAATGTAATGAGATCTAGATCATTTAAATTTTGACTTGAATAGTTCAGATTTAAAATATTATTTTATATTTACTACAAAAAAATTTATAAAATTATAAAAAAATTTAATTATCAAAATTTGGAGAGTCCAAGGTAATATTGAAATTTTGATAATTTTTATATATCGACTATATATATGCACTCTGCATAGTTCAAATTTAAAATTTTTAACTTTCAATTTTTTTAAAAAATATTTTTTAAAAATGGATAGTTTTATCTATTTTAATTTTTAATGTCATATTTATCAAAATAAAAATTTACAGACAGTATAAAGTACATTTAGATAGTTAATATATAAGAATCATAAAAATTTTAATATTAAATTGGACCCTCTAAATTAAATCTAAATTAGATTGATAATTAATTTTTTTATAATATTTTATTTTAGTAAGTATAAAATAAAAATAAAAGTAATACTTTAAACTGAATTATTCATATTAAAATATGGATGGTTCAGATTTCATCACACTAATGAGTATAAAAGATGAGTCTATACCTTACTCCCTCTCTCATAATTATTGGATTTCCATCTGTGTTTGAGGCAAAAAGCTTAGCCAAGACTCCCAAGCCCTCACCTTCCTCAACTACCACCCAACATCTGCCTCTAAGCTCCCTTCCTGGACCTAGAGGGGGGGGAGAATTAATCATGTCTACGTAAAATTAATGATAAAGGTCAAATTGTCATGAGTATAATTGTTTAGGGTGTATTTTGTTCAAGAAGAGGGGAGGAGAGGAAAGGGAAGGTTTTTAATATTATCTTGTTTGGTTTTGTTGGAGAAGAGGAGAAGGAGGAGTTTTTAATGATCTTTTATTTGGTTTAGGAGAGGAGGGAAAGAAAGGTAATAACTAATTTACTATTATATCCTTATATATTAGTTTAAAAATTTTTTAATTATTCCTTGTAGAAAATAATTTTATACCTCAATTTAAATAGCATGATTTCTTAAAAATTGACTCTCATCCTATCATATTGTCAATATGTGAATAAAAAATTAAATAAATAATTATAATGATAATAATTTTTTATAAAGAATAAATAACTCCCTTAAATATATAATAAAATATGATGAATTATAATTTTTTTAAAAAAAAATCCAATGAGAACAATGGAGGTTTAGAAGTGAAGCACAATCTAATATGAAAAACAGTTTTTTTTTTAAGAAAAATTAATCTTTTAATCTTTTAACTTTTAAC